TGAAACTACAGAATGTATGGATGGCTATATCAAGTTGGAGTCAAACCATCAATCAAAGCTCCGTCAGATGAGTAAGAGATGACCTATAGAAATGAAGAACTAGAAGAGATAGTAAGAATAAACTGTGTCAGTGGTTTTCATAACACCGCGCAATCCTAGAATCCCTTCTACAACATATGAACTGAGAGTAATGACAGAATAGCAAGCATACAAGGGAAGCATACATGTGAAGATCAATCTATCTTAAAGCAACTTATGAATACGAGTAGGAGAGAAAGCCTTGGAGCAAGGTAGAACAAAAATAAAAATACTTATAAGGTATGAACGAAAACAATGAGCAATAAACCATTTGTAAGTTCGCGTACATTCCTTCAATTTGTGAATTCAGTTGCACTTTTAGCATCAGAGCGCTCTTTCATCGCCGTTTCGTCGTTGAATGTGATAACCTACTCGCACATTGCTATTCATTCATCATGTATTCAGAATCCGACAAACAAATGAGCTTTTCGTTACACCATACAATACAAGTTTGAGTGAATTCATCCATACGCTGAAAGCTGCGAGGTCAATATTCTAATGAATCGTTTAAGTAAGTTAACACATTATGCATAGTACAAGTACAGTTCCTAATTCAAACCTAACACTCTCTTTGAACTTCCGTTAACGTTGGCGCTTTACAGTGGCAGAGATGATTTCTGTTGAATTAGCATAATATTCTAATTATGTGCAGAGACGTTTGCAAATGTTTCGAATCATTGTTGCTGATAGACTAGCATAGAGTGGTTGCATTCTAAGTCAGGTTAGTTCTTTTCCGTTTATCACCTTTCTGTTTCGTTTTTTTTTTGAATTTTGTTTCTCCAAACGTAATAACAGTTCGATTTTTCATTTTACTGAAATAGCTGAAACAGTTAGCATTTCTCTTTTCTGTTCAATAGTAGAGTAGCGATGACCCTTTCTCTATCTGAAGCCAGTTAAGCATCAGCAGCCATCTTCATCACACCTCTCTCTACATCCATTCTCATTTATCTTTTTCATTCTTATTGTATGTATGTAACATATTTTATATTTTCTTTAGTGCTTTTGTTAAAGTTTATATGATAAGGTTGAATGATCCTTTAAGAGCACTTCTTTTGGATTTGAAAAGCGGGTTCTTATTTGGACACCTTGAGTTGTTTGTATCTGATGGAGAGATAGAGCAATAGTGAGAGATTATTGAGTTATGTATGATAGAATAAGCAACTAGATAGGTATAGAGGAAAGACATTGATAGAGAAAATTGACTTTCTCTTTTCCATATTTTCTTTTCAAGCTTTTTCCTCTCCTCTCGCATATTTCTTTTCTCTTCTCTCGATCATGGGAAAGACAACAATAGAAATCATTGTGTATCCAGATTACCGTACCTTGATCATTTCGTTTTCAAGCTTCATCTTGTTAAACTATCTCAAAATGATAATGCTATTGATGATTACAAATTAGTTCATATGATTATCAGTATGGCCATATGCTTCATCAATCCCTATTCCAATCTTCTCAGATACGTATAGCTGTCATTGAAGCTCGTCTGACTCCATTCCACTCATGTTTTTTCCATTATTCTTCAGATTTTCCGAGTGTTTCCATGTTTTAGTCTTTCACTCTCTGTCTCTCTCTCTCTATCTTGCTATAGTCACGATAGTCAATAGAATTTTCAAAGTTATACACTGGCTGTCTTATATGAAATCGGTAATTCTATCCATGTTTAGACATTGCTTGATATATAGCTGTTATCTTTTATTCTAATCATCTTCTTCATTTTCTTATAGTTTTATACACAAAATCCAGATGTATAATTAGTCTTTCTCTCTTCTCAGTTTACATTTTTCACTTTTACCAGATAGCTTCCTTACAATATGGCGACTAGTTAATTTCCGGTTGTCTTCCGCTATTCATATTCCATAAACACAACCATAGCTCGTGAAGCTCCGCCCACTTATCTCTGATTTGAGCAATCGTATGATATGACTCCGCCCTTCTTTTGTGCTCACGTATCTACTTAGATATTTAGACTATGAAGAATTTGGATATAACGTATCGTTCATTCCTCTTCACCATTTTATGACTTGCTCTTTCATTATGAAGCTTATATGACTTTGATCTTCATGAACATCAACTTCTTGCTCCATTACTCATAACGATGTTACTTCAATGTTGCGACGTTCTCTCTTCTACTCCATTTAGTTCCTCGTTTACATTCTATCATTTCTCGAAAAGCATTGAATCTATTCCAGATATGTTGCTGGGAGGATTTCCAATGACCTTTGGTGGACGCGTAGAACGCGAACGAAAACCAAAATGTGCTCGATGCCGAAATCACGGATTGGTTTCATGGTTGAAGGGACACAAAAGGCACTGCAAGTACAAGTAAGTGTTGAATTCGAAGTTAACGAACCTCCAGAATTGAAATAACTTATATGCTTTTGCTATTAAACTAATCAGATTAGAAAGTCTGCCTGTCATCCAATATTGTTATTTGTATAAATAACCTTATAAGAGAGTGAGAAATGAAGGGATATTGTTGCGCCAGATAACAGTATGTCTAAGCTTGATTGAGACCAATAAACGAGTCAAAAACCTCTTCTCACCTTACCGTAATCCTTTAACAAATAGAGGAGAGATGACAATTGTAGTGACACTCGAAAATGAGCCGATTAAAAGAGGCATGAGAAGCACAAATATGGAGTTGTCTTAAGGATATCTTATATTGTATAATGCCTAATGATAATATGGGGGAAAAATGTGTGTAAGCTGAATGAATCATGACCACTAACCATCTTGCCTATTGAAGTCTCATGATACTCTCATTACAGAGAATGCGCTTGTGACAAATGTAACTTAATTGCTGAACGTCAACGTGTCATGGCTGCACAGGTTGCTCTGAAACGAAAACAAGCTACAGAAGATGCAATTGCTCTTGGATTACGGTATCATATAGATTTAAACATAACTATATTCATAGCATATGCTCTTTACAGAGTTGTTTCCGGACAACAAATTGACAGATTGCCTCAAGGTCCTGTGTGGAATACAGCAGCTGATGAAGAAGATAACATAGACCGTTAGTGTTTATAATCTGAAATATTAAAAAAAGGAACAAAAATATCTATCTTTCCACATGTGGTTCCTAAAACTAACACATACATATAGATATCTTATATAAACACTCAACTAAAGTTCAAATATTGAAAATCTTTCTTTTAGTTTCTCGATCTCCTTCACCTGCCATTGACTGTTCGCCTCCTAAACGTAAGAAAGAGTTATGCAGTCCCCAGGAAGTTCGAACACCGGGACGAATGTCTTCATTAGAGTTATTGGAGATTCTGTTTGAAGAACAAGAAAAACGAGTATTAGATCTTATTCTTGAAGGTGCTTAACATATCATCCATCAATGATTACCTTTCTCTCTTTAAGGTTGTAATGGAGATGTGTTACAAACGATTGAGCATTTCGCGTGTGCTCGGAAGATAAGGAATCAAAATAACAGAGTAACTAAACAGTTTTCATTTATCATATGACATTCAATTGACTTACAGTGTCCGAGCAAGTCTGAAGATGTTAGCATTCCCGATTATTCATCGTTGATGAAATCGCTGCAGAAACCAGCCTTCTCAATGGAATCATTACTACAGGTATAGCATAGAGAGAGAGAGAGCATCTATAATAAAAAAAATGTTTTAAGCCTCGACCAAATAGTTTTCTTCCTTTTCCTTGGCCGACAATGCTGCCGACAATATCTTCACCACTTGATATAAGTAAAACAAGTGATAGCAATAGTTCTAACTCCATGTCTCCAGATGCCAGTATTGATTAAATTATTAATTTATTCTCTTCTGCAATTGCCTTAACTATAATAATTATATTTCACTTGTGTTCTTCCTTCGTTCTCCATACTATACATATAGTATATCAAATGATATCTTCCTCACCTTGTGTACAATCAACTGCTTCATATGAATTCAGATTTCCTTCTTTCTCTATCCCACCCAAACCCGCTTGTTCAATCAGTCTTGTCGAGAAACTTTTTCTTTTTTCTTGTTGAAAACATTGAGTATCGTTTCTAAAAAATATTCTGAAATAAAGCATGAATCAGACATATCGTCTTGCCAGGAAGTATCATCTTTACTGGCAATACGCAGCCTATTTCCTCTGAATATGGTCTGTTTTGACGTTTCATTTCACAAATAAATCTCTTTCCTTCTCTCTCTCTATTCCTCTCACTTTTTCTTTTATTATTTTAAAATAAATGAGAAGCATGAGAACATAAAAACAAAGTTCAAGAAGCTTTTCATTCAGCCAGACACAAGCTGTTACCACACATTCAAACATAGCTGCTTAAGGTGTTAGAGCATCTATTCGCAATAGAGCGCACAATGGTGATGAGCAAGATGATGGTGTTAACAAACAAATCTGTTTATTGAGATGAACAGATGTAACTGTTTATCAAATTGTCAATCTGTCAGCATCTCCTTATTCAAGAGTAATTGTTTGCGGAAATGGATCTCATTGGATTGACCTCATCAATGATGCAATTTTTATTCAAATAATACGCAACCTGTGACAATATCCAACCCGTTATCTCTCTTTTAATACAAACAAAAAATTCTTGAATATTGCAATCATGTTTGGCTTCATGATTTTCAACAGTCGGTATATGGAAACAATGCAAATTAACTCTCTATTGATTCATCATTCATTTACATTGCCTGATCATTGTTCATATTTAATTCCTACAGATAATTGCTTCCTATAGTCAGCTTTGAAAAAAAAACGAGCAACACCCTCCCGTACATAAGGCAATTCGATAAAAATGGAGAGAACAACCGGTCAGCGCGTTTGCACATGCAATACTGACTGTTTATCAAGTCACGTCACGTGGAAATTCAAAGCTCGGCTCACGTGGAAATTCCACGTGAAAGTCACGTAAAATGTTTCCGTGAATTATTGCAACACCTAAGTATACCCATAGTTGATGGAAAACATTAAATAAATAATTTTTTATCAAATTCGATGTAAAAACAATAAAAGTGTTTGAAAAATCAAAGAATACTTCTACGTGTACAATGATGACTCGTGCTACAAGAAACAAAGAACAGCGATCGGAGGCTCATATAGTGCAAAGTCTAGAGAGAGAAAAAAAAGAGGAAGAGAGAGAAAGAGAGAGAAAGGGGTTTAAGAAAATGTAAAATATAAAGAGAAAGAGATAAGCAGTTGATCTAAAATCAATAATACCCAATTACGTACTGTTTATTACAGTATGCCTACAATAAAAATAAAAAAACAACAAATCATTTAGGCAGCGTTAAACACTGTTAACTTAAAGATAATGGGGATCAGATTAGCATAATTAACAATTAAACCGATTTACACAACTTCTCACTACACGCTGTAACAAAGATTTTTGAAGGAAGAAGAAGCTAAGCCTTAAACGATGAAATCGTAAAGCTGTTGCTAACTATAACTGTATAGGAGAGAAATGAATAGAAGACATTCCATCAAAATAGGAAGAGACAACTACACGTAACATAACAATCGGAGCTTATGCTCTCATGCATATAATACATAATGAAGAGTTTATAAAGAAGGAAAATGTGCAGAATCGGTATAGAGGAATGAGGGATCGCAATTTGTAGGAATCAGTGCCTAATACAGCCAAAGGATTAAAGATGATTAGCCCTACGGACTATTGAGTATGGTCGCTGGGCGACTGTAAAAGCTTGAAGAATAAATGATTATAATATATGGAGTATATAAGCAGAGCGATTGGAAGGGTTGAGTATAGGAAACGAGTAAGAGAGAGGAAGGGAGAGAGAAGACAGAGAGAGAGAGAAGACAGAGAGAGAGAGAGAAAGAGAGTAGTGGCTAGAGAGAGGAAGAGGGAAATATAATTTTTTTTCTTAACAGTGATAGAGATTTGATCTCGACAGCTGTTGAATGGAGGGGGAAGGATGGGCAGAAACTGGACGGAGATCCATTGAAGCGCAGACCCTGGGACTCAATTTGCATGGCTATCAGTAAGCGATAAAGCAAAATGCAATGATTTCGTTAAAGAGATAATGAAGCTGGCAATGAAAAGCTAGAATTCATGAAAAGCCATCAGTTGAGTCTTCAGATGACAATTCTGAATTCAAATTTTCATAAAACAAATGTCTCATAATGCCTATCAAAGTCTAAACTCTGCTAATATGCATGTTGGAGATGATCAAATTGACTTTCTAATGGCAAGATTACCGAGAAAAATAATTTTTTTGTTCAAAATAAAACTTTTGAGAGGGAAGAGAGAGAGGGATGGAAATGGAAGCAGATAACGTCATTCTAGGAATGCAACATCTGCGAGATGAGAGGACGAGCGACTACACAACTACTACTCTACGATTCTCAAGGAAATCCATAAACTATATCGTATAGTTATAGCAATATGTCATAAACCCTGCTAATACTTAACGAATTCAAAGAATAAAAAAGAAGAAAAGGAAGAAAAAAAAACTTTTTTTTTCATTTTTCAGGTAACATGAGCCGCTCTTTGTACATATAAAACAAGGCTAACAACGCATCAGACGAATACAACAAGTAATTGGAAAATAAAAATAAGAAAAACGAAGAAACAAACTAACTGACACCATAGATGGAGTTGTTTGTATTTGTATTTGAGATGATGAAGCTCTCTTTCGAATCTGCTCTCTTGTCCTCTCTGTTGTTTCCTAATTGGGTCAACGAATGTTTTATGAGCTTCATGGGTGGGGGGGGGGATGATAATGAAGGAAAAGTATGTGATGGTGGAAGTGTGGGGGAGGGATAGGGGACTATTGGATGAATGAATTCACCGAGGTTTTGAAATATTGGAAACTCAACGAAGAACACATAGTAACTTCTAGTTGAGGTTGAAGAGAGAGAGAGAGAAATAAAAAAAAAACAAAATGTTCTTAGCACAACACTAAATGCAATCTAGGCTCAAACTGATTACTACATATACTGTGTTCCCGTCGTAAATATAAAAAACACGGAGGATGACGAGACCATGAAGAGAGAAATGACAAAAGAACGGAAAGCCGGCCAGCCGGCCTGACACGCGTACTCAAGCACACGCTTATGCGAATGATAATTTAAATAAAATAAAATATATAGAGATAGGTATGATAGATACAACAATATCCTTCTATGAAGTAAGCTAAGCGATTATAGATAGATAGGGATGCTGTAGAAGGAGATAAGGGGGACGAAAGAGTAAAAGGAGAGGGTGGGAACGAAAAGAAGGGGAGTTGGGGGTTGTAGGAAAGAAATCATTTGCATTTGCATGATGTCATTGCTCTAAATCATTTGCCCATCATCCAGAGGTTTAGAACTCTGCGAGTCCGTGTGAAAGATCTGGGTACCATGGGGCGAGGCCCCGTTACGGGCAAATGCAGTTATAACTATATCTTATATTAGAGCTATCATATAGTTATGACTCGGTTAAATGGAAAATGAAAAGAAGAGATGAACGTGCAAGAATAAAAGAAAAACATAATTAAAGTTTAAATAGGCTAGTAAGTTGGTTTCATATGGTTAATAATGCTGCTGGGGAATTGTTGATGAGCTGCTGAACCGCCTTGCTGGGTATAGCGTTGAATGTTTTCCAGCGGTGTTATCATATTAAAGCTGAAATGATATGTCCACATTAGTAATCAAGTCATCATGTTTTCATTAAATAGATGTACCCAGTCGGTCTGTCTGCTGATTTGATGTTGTTCTGATAATCGAAGTATGATCTAGATGGCCGGAAGTTGAGCAGTTGTGTGAATGCTGAGTTTGGTATTCCGGAGTTGTAGGGATTAGCTTGTCCAGCTGCAGACACCGCTTGATTCATCATAGCTTGGTTCATCACTGATTGACCTGAAATGATTATTGAATTAGAACACTATAGAGTTCATTCAATTCATTCTGAATAACATTCTGAGCCTACTGTAGTGGTTGGTCTAGCTACAGTAGCACTTGGTATCTTCTCACACTCACTGATGCTATGGTTTGAAGGTGAAATTAATAAAAGTTAAAGTTGGAGATTCAAAGGATCCCTCAAAACGATCAGTCTTGTACTTTTGTCGTTCCTCTTCTCACGACCAAAAAATGGCTGGCCAGTTCAGACTACCGTTCATTTCTCTCATCTCTCTCCTCTAAGCTACACATTCTATGTATTTGGCTGTCGTCGTTCTCTTACTTAACATGAAATCTCACTTGGTTCGTCGTCTGTCTGTTTGGTTACACGAAATCAGGTTAACCTTTACGATTAGAGAGTTCGTAGAAGATGTGGAGACATCTGGACAATGATGGGAACGATGTTCTTATAGACAGTCATTTCGCACCTTTATTTTCTATGTTCTCTCCTGTATTATAATTATATTTGATTCTGAAGATTTTCCCTTTTTTAGATTCCGGAACGATTCAGACATCAACGATAATGCGTGGTAAAGTGAGAGATCGACAGACAGACAGAGACACAGTGAGAGAGAGAGAATGAAATTTCATAGTTGTCATCGGACTGTAAAAAATGACTGCTGACGGCGACGACGTTGACGACAACGACGACAACGACGACTATGATCGTTAGGCTCTCTATAGACGACAGTGCCATCGTTTTAGCCGGTTCTAGGTCATTTCAAAGAACGACAGACATTCTAAGAACGATATTTAATATAAAAAACGACTGCCAGACACTGAGAGATAAAGAGAGAGGCTTTGATTGTCTGGAGGATAGATATTTCCCGATTAGGACAGGTTAACATATGGGATTTCATGAAACGTATCACACATCTTGCATTCAACGTCAGATTTTTGATATCTGCACGATCAGCAAGATGGAGTGAATGTGTTTCAGTGGTGATTCAACTCAAACGATGTAAAAAGACAATGAAGAGAACTCACTTAAAGCGAACTGCTGAGCATCATGTGATTCAGCCATTCCTGGCACAGCCTGATTCCATAAATCTAATTGTTCAGCTCCAAATTCATTACGAAAACTGGGTATAGTTAGAACAAAGGGAAGATTATCCGCAAATTTACCTTATTCCCGATGTTCGTGTTCGATCTGAATGCTTTGTCATGTGTTTCTGGAGATATGTCGCTTGAGTATATGATTTACCGCAAAACGGACATATATGAACCTGAAATGGCATGATGAGCTTTACTCTTAAGAAAGATTCGTCAATACCTTCAGATGTTTTGATTCTTTATGTTTAGGAATATGATCCAATAAGCTTTGTTCATCAGCAAAGCATTTATAACAACTGAAATGAGAGAGAGAGATCATATTTCGTATATAAGGAGAGAGACAATCGATTACCTATTGCACTTATAAGGTTTATCAGTTTGATGACAACGTGAATGAGATTGTAAATTACTTAACTGACTAAATGCTTTTTCACATCCAGTAAACTTGCACTGAAATACAAATGATCATCTCTATATCATCATCTTTTCCATTCATTACCTTATATGGCTTTTCTCCTGTATGAGTTCGTATGTGCTGTTGTAAATGAGATAACTGTGTGAACTGAAATTTCATTTCATGTACTTCATGTGTGATCTATCTTTTGCTTTTCACTCTCAGTTTCGATACTTCTCAATCGCTTTTTCATTTTTTTTTTCGAAAGAGAAATCTTTGAGGATATGAGATTTGAAGATGAGTTCAGTAGACGGACAAAAGGAGAAAGAGAGGTTATACATGATTTGGTGAAGAAAAAATGAAAAGACCTTGAGCCCGCAGGCAAAAACCGGACTAACCGGCACATAAAAAATAGCTGAGAATCACAAAAAACTGCTGTCCGAAGAGATAGTGTATGTATTGAAGAGGGTGGAAAGATACATAGATAGATTGAAAAGGAGGTCTGAGTCGGACGTACTTTACTGGAAAAGCGATTTGATGGTTGTTCTAATGACCCTGTCCATGTCTTCTAGTTAGCAGATGGATGGATCACTTTCTTTTACCTAATACGGTAAAAAATGTTTTAAAGACACACTATAAATGAGTGAAAGTTACGGTAGAATTGTGAAATCAGCAAGACGTCTCATACATGCTAGCAAGTGCGATAAGCTTTTCCTCCTAAGTGCATGTCTCGTCAGCATAGTTTGATATACTGTCTGACATGACTATGTGGGTCTGATTGTAGAGATGAAGTTAACTAAGACCATACATAAGAACATACGTGATGATGTTCTAGACCAAAAAAAGATTCGAAAAGGAAATAGAAAGGTTTACAATCTCAATATCTTACAGTCCCTTTCTTTTTTTTTGTTTGAAGTATATTTATTTGTTTCTTTCACTTACAATCATTCTTTTCTACCCCAGCTACATCTCTCTCTCTCTATCTCTCTCTCTCTCTACCTCTCTCTCTCTCTCTACCTCTCTACTTCCTTCTGTCTCTCTTTCTGATTCTCTTATTCTTTTTCGAATCTTCTAATTTTCCCTTTTCATTCTTTTCGAAACTCGGAAATGTTGCGAAGAGAGCTGTTTTTTGCGTTTGCTAAACAAACTTGAGCAGATCTCTTTTTCCAATTTTATAATTCTCTCCCTCTTTCTCAGTCTATCATTCGTTTAAAAAACGGCTGGCTGGTTCGAGTGAATTTGCAAAGAGATTGAAGTATTGCTAGAGGTGACAGGGGTATTATACAGGACGACACAGACAGATAGAGAGAATATGAGAGAGAGAGAGAGAGATAGTGAGTGAAAGAGTATGATAGAGAATAAGAAATTGAAATATAAAGAGAAAAGATATAAAAGAGTATAACAGAAGAACTATATGGAGAGAAGGGTGGGAGAGGAAGGAGAGGGTGAAAGAAGGGAATGCAACCGCTCATTGTGTTTAAAACTTAATAAAGTGAGCAGACGTGCGTCCGTATATGCGTTCACGTGAACTTTCATGTACATCTACAGTATGCTATTGAAGTATTGATCTTGAAGTCAATCAGTTCATGTAAGCTTAGAGAGTGAGAGTTGGAGAATCAATAGATGTACATGTTCGCACTTCTTCATTATCCGGTTTTTTAATAAAAATATGGACAATGGTCATATCGATTGTTCAAAAAACGACTGCAAGGAGTGTTTCATATGAAACCCAACGGTACATCCGTCGTCTGTGGTCCGAACATCAATTTTCATTATAAAAACATGAAAATTCTTTATTTTTGAATGATTTTTCAATGAGAAATAGATTATTGCTACAGTAGCATAGGTCATCTGTCATTGGTTGCGTTCATACAGTAAGCAACCGTAGATGGGAATGAAACGTTTAAGAGACAATAAGCGATGGCCTCGTAGAGGTCGCTCCTAGGTTTCTTCAAAGTTTTCTTTCAAAGTTGATTGCAAAAGATTAAAATATGGGTTATAAAACAATTTTTCTTTTAATGCTTCCTTCCAACATACTAACAAGAGAGATTGATGAAAAAAAAAATTTTTTTTTCTGTTTCTCTTCGTCTTTGTCGGCCCTTGTTAGAAGACCGAACTGTTTCGAATGGAATTGATTATACTTAAATGAAATGAATCGAAATGATGGATATGAATGATGTCGGAGAGCTCATTCTCACGTTCATACACACATCTCAACCCTCTTTCGAATATCTTCACAGATTTTCATGTTAAGTGCTGGATGCTCGCAGAGTGTTCTTCTCAGTCACCTCAACAGTTGTAAATGGGTGGATCATAATTGAAAGGAGAGCAAAAAACTGTTGAAGAGACAGATTGAGAGAGAAAGAGAGAGAGAGAGAGGGTGAGATCAATAATTGGTTTGATTTCTATTGTTTGCCCTTAAAAAACGGCTGGACAAGTCGACGAATCGATCGCGTTGACTTCATCGAAAGTCGATGAAACACTGTCGATGACGAACATTGAACAGCTTAGTTCGATTACAATATGTGTTCCTGCATAAGGCAAGACCCACAACCATTTCTTCTCCAAAAATGAAAAGATTGGATTGATTGGAATCAAAGCAGTTAGAGAGAGAGAGGAGAGCAGCTGTTTGAACCTTTTTTTAAGCGTTGTGGTTGAAAACAAAAAAAAGTCACAAAAAAAGGAGGATGCGAAGGAACATATGGAGACAGTAAGGACAGTTGCGACAACCGTACATTGTTCTTTTCAACTTATCAAAATGAAAAAAAAGGCCAAACGAAGGAGAAGTGGACAAAGACAATCGAAATATTCAAATGTGACTTAATAGGAATAAGATCTTAGAGAGAGAGAGGGGGAGATCAAGAGAGAGAGAGAGAAAGAACGATAAGAGAGAATACCATTTGCATACGAATTATCAAAGAAATTATAAAAAATGAATAAAAAAATGAAATGAAAATGTAAAACTCACTTTCTTGCCGCAATACTGACAAGGACCGAATGGCTTAATGCCTAAATGAATTCGCATATGTTGGGAGAGATACGAGCTGTTGGCAAAGGACTTGATGCACTTAAAACAATTAGATCATGTATTTAACAGATTTGACAAAGCCCTTATAAAGGCTTCCGCTTTCAGATTTTTTTTCTTCTTCTTCTCTACGTTCATTTGTTCGCTCATCACGTACCTGATTGCATTTATATGGTTTAGCCTCCCGCATCTGCATCTGCTGCTGCAGTTGCCCGACGTCCGGTTTGGTTTCAAACTAAAGGAAAGAAAATTATTAGAAAGTACTATAAGTATATATAGTTAATGAAAATGACATAGTTAGGCTGTTTTGGTTTATCTATATGTTTATGATCATTTTAATTATAGCAAAAGGCTTTTAACCTGAAACTCTGTCTAAGTTTCCCATGTATGGGTTGACAGAGAGAGAAAGAGAAGAGCCGAACAGTATTATACTGTAATTATTTGTATAAGTTAAGATAGAATTGAAGAAGTTGTTAACTATATCATATTATAACGCCGATAATCAGAAGGAATAGGGAACACCTAGACTTGACTAGGTCTGTATGTTTGAGTTCAAAGAGAAAAAAGGTAAAGATGAACAACGGAAGAAGAAGACGACAACGACGACGACGGGAGCTTTTTTTTTCTTTTTTTTTTTGCTTCGAATACGAGACTATTATCGCTTCGGGAAAACGGCTGCCGGACACTTTTTTTTCTATCACATCGGCCTTAAAAAGAAGCGACGAGGACATCGTCGACACCCAAATGTGACTTCAGATTTCGATTATGGAAATAATGATGATGATGAGGGTGATGAGGATGATGATGATGATGATGATGATGGTGAGGAAGATGTGAAAGCTCACATCTACTAGTGAATCATCTCATAAAAGTAATGAAAAGCAAAAAAATCAATATGCATATTAATTATATGAACTAGTTAATGATTAGAATTAGGAGAGAAAAAAGTATTTGTTGTGAAAATACGATTTCAAGCTTATACTGTGATACAATAAGAAAGATGGTAGCGTTGTGCACGCTAGAATTGTTTGGAGGCGGAGTTAAGAAGGTGTGTACGAGTGAAAGAGTGAGAGAGAAAAAAGAAAAAGAGACAAAAAAGATAAAAAAAGAAAAAGAGAAATAAAGAGAAAGAGAAATGGGTGAGGAAGGAAAACGAATGCAACCGCTCTTCATGTTTGAAATTTGTAAAATGAAGTTTTATGTGAATGAAAAAATTGATTTCACGTATATACGTGGGTATGTGTAGTATACGTGAAAACGTGAATAAAAGCATCATAACATACAGTATGCTAATATGAGTATGAAATAGGAGGGATTGATGAAGGCGTATATACATGTAATGATAAACGAATTGAAATTGATTATATGATGGCTGATACTTTGCCCTCAAGGCATTGGAACTCAAACAAAAAGTATATCAGGTGTCAGACGTTTGTTCATATATTGAAATGAATGAAAAAGAGCTTCCGCTCATTTATTTTTGACTCAAGAAGATGAAGAAGATGAAAAAGAAGAATGAGCTGGAAAAAAAAGGAGAAAAAGTATGAAAAAGAGTTTTTGAGACAATCAGATGATGGGGGTTTCGAAACGAAGAGTTATCGTTCACGCACATACATACAGTCAAATATGATAAACCTGATTTGAAGATGAAGAAGGAACTCGATAGAATTATTGGTAAATGTGTATGTGTAAGGGTATATGGATCTGTGTGTGTGTGTGGGTATGTGGGTACGTATGTAAGTATAAGGAAATAGAAATGGTGATAGAGAACGTCATGAACGAAAGGAATCAGTAGATGTGAACTTCATCTATCATCATAGATAAGAGCAGAATGAGAAACAGTGACTGTTTCATGAAAAAAAAGAAAAAAATTGAATTTTTTCAATCGTCATTGATGCAATTATCATTTGATAAGAGACAGTGTATGGAGCTTGCAACACATTTCGTTTGTAACCCCCTCAGGCGTGGACGTTCTTATTAATGGCGCCTGTAGATTTTGAGGGCGATTTCATGCGACAATCGAAGCACCCTTTGCGTACATCCAGTAGTTTTTTGGATGGCTTTGTCGTTTTTTAGGTCGACACCCATTTCCAGATTGCCTAAAGGGCGGCTGGTGTTGGGAGGGAAAAGAAACAATAAATGAAATGGAAAGTACAGAATATAGGGGAGAGAGGAAAGGGAATTAAAAAAACGGCTTCAGTCAGGATCAGAATGGATGAGAGAATCGAAAGTCAGTTTGCCAAGCTTCGTTTGAAGAAAATGACAAATTGTTTTGAATTCATCCCCATACAGACCCTTTTCAATCAATTTGAAACTTGACAGTACGGTAAGTGCCGAACTGTGGTGAGAGCGAATGAAAGAGAAGCGAGTGGGGGGGGGGGGGGTTGTTTGGGGGTTAAATTAAGGGTAATAGCTTCAAGTTGCGATATAGAAGTTTCTTTGTTGTCAATCCATAGATGAGGTCATCCATAAAGTGTCAAAATGATTTTCACAGACTATGAGTAGGAAATGTTCGAAAAAAGCATATACATAGTAAGAACCACCGAGAGAGAAACAACTTTGGAAAAAAATGGAAAGAAATGATGGAAGCTAAAGAAGGTCATTGGGCTAGGCGATGAGAAAAAAACAGCTTCTGCTATCCTCCCCCTTCTTCATGTATATTCTCTCATTCATTTTCTTTGTATTTGATATCTCTCTAGCATCCCTCTCTATGTCTTCAATACTCTATATGAAGAGAGAGAAAGAAAGAGAAAGACAAAGTTCTTACAAACCTTAGATAGTTCAATTTCTCCCCAACTCCTATCAAGAACTTCCAGTGGGTTCCCCTTCTATGTGATCAAATCAAACTTTTTTTTTCTATGCCAAACCACTTCTTCATGGCTTGTAAAATTGACCAAAAAAAACGGCTCATAAACATATGGGTGGTTGAATGATCAAACTACCCACACAGCTTACGTACACACACTCACATACACATATACATAGATGGGGAACGGAGAGAATGATGTAGAGTGATTGTATGGATGAGCAGACAATTCTAATTATGAAAACGATGTAAGTGGAACGAAAATGAAAATGTTAGCCGAATAGCAACTTCATCTTAACCAATTTGATAAGACAACTATATCAGAAAGGAAGAAGAAAAAAGCCATTTTGAGAGCTACTATCTATAGAATTAGGAAATGAATGCAACACAATGCAAAACGAATCATAGTTATGTGTATGGGAAAAGCTTATTGAAAGATTTCTCTTCGATGCTTTGGCAAATTGATGATCGAAGCTTCTGAATCGATTTATTCATTTTTCATCTTCGTCTTCTTCGTCTTCGTCTACTAAAACGACCAGATAAGACGTTTGGGTCTCTTTGAATGCACGTGTGGGATTACGGTACTTTTGAATTGTGAGAGAAATAGGAAAAGAGAAGTAAAGCAACTAAGAAAGAGAAAGAGAGTGAGATAGAGAGAAAGAGAGAAGATGACGAAAAAAATGTATAATTAGTAGAGAAATGGAAAAGAGACAGGAAGAGATTCGATGACTTGAAGAGAGCTTAGAGTATACGAAGGACAGTAGGAGATTCAGGTTTCCTTGGAGTCTTGTAACCTTACCTCCGTTCAACTATAATGTTAATTTATTCCTTCTTGACAACCAAAAAAGGTAAAGGTACTACTTTTCTGTTTGATAACTCCAGAAACAACATGTCTCTCACTTGATCTCTTGGGTCTGATTGCTCTTCGAAGGCAGGCATAACACACTTTTTAACATTTTTTTTTCATTTTCCATGTTAGGATGGATTACAGCTAACATCATAAGAGAAGCTTTGAACTAACATTAGCAGCTGCAGTGAGGAAATGTTGATAAGCCACAGCTGATAATACCATGATTGGAAGCGAATATGATGATGATGATGGAATAGATTCAAGGTGTCGTCGTCGGAAGTCAAATCACACTTTCGTCAACTTCAACTTCTTATACCTTACTTTGAGATATTAGTGAGCACCACACAAATGAGATGATAGATTGATTAAGTCTGTGAGAGTGGGGGGAGGGGGAGGGAGATGTCAGATGAAGTCTGTAACCTCAGCCTCTCTATGAATCTCAGTTGAGTGTCTGCGTAATGATAAACTCAAAATATTTCAGTCAGTCTATAGCTACAACTGATAGCTCTCACGAATACAGTAATAATCAGATGAAGTTGACGAGGTTGTTGATGATGACGACGACGACAAGACCGAAAGTTGGTTTTTCCAGCAAAAACGTCGCAACGTATAGACTTTTTACCTAGTCTTATCAGTTCATTCGGTTGAAAATGGTACTAAGTGATAAAAAAATCTAGCGTATAGATCGATATAATTAGTTATTCCTTATATGGCAACTATTTTTTGGCCCCTGAGGCGCTTATGAATCGACTCAATGGCGATAATAGGCGTTCAAATAAAATTTTTGGTTGGAAATGTAAGTCCTTGGCTGTCTCTCTATCAGTTTGACAGGCCCAATCTCTCTCTGATAACATAGTGTTTTTAGGACTCTTTTTTTTCGAAAAAATAATTTATTAAAGACCAATGGCCTTAGCTATGAAGCAGATAAGGTAATGAAGTGTTATGGGCCAAGCAAAAACGAGTTAAAGAACGTAATTTGCCTTTCGTATAGTCAGACGACCAGACGATAGAAGGAGCGAACAGAAAAAAAAACCTTTGAAACATCAGTTGTCAGTCAAGAAACAACACCAAAAAACGACAAAGAGAGAGAGAAAGAGAGAGAGAGAGAGAGTGGGTAGGGATATGTGTGGTAGTCGAGCTATATAAGGAGGGAAACACCTTGGTTGATGGTTACTTCAGCTCACAGAGCAATGAAGTGAGAAGTGGTAGTCTGAGGCAACGAGCATGTGGTGCATGAAGCCTTGCAAGTCTATGAGAGTGACTGCGAGAGAGAGGTTTTTGAAATGAAAAAGCGAGATGAGTCACATGAAAAACTGTGAGAAATTGAAAGTTTTTATTTGAAAAAACTACTTTTGACTCGAAAAAATAATTAAATTTTCCTAATTTTAAATGGAAATAGGCATCACTTACCGTATCATTATGGAATAATTAGGGAAAATAGCGTTCATTAAGTAATTAATTCAAAAATGGTTTTGAAACGATTGAGATATGTAGGAGTATGAGGTAAGAATTGGCTGTGAGCCAACTCTCAACTCTCCTA